TCCTCCACCACCAATGCTCAGTAGCAGCAGAGGGTACTGCAGAAACTCACCAGGACTCCTTAGACACTCCCTGCCAAATCCATGACCACTTTCATCCAGGAGAAGGACATCAGATACACGGGAACACCACCAACCTCTCGTCTAAGCCACTTACCACTCTGACTTGGAAATATATCACCATTCCTTCAGTGTCATTGTGTCAAAGTCCTGGAATTCCTGCTATAATAGCATAGTCGGTTTGCCTATAGAACGGGGACTGCAGCAGTTCAAGAACACCCCTTTTCAGGGGGCAACCAGGAACAGCAATAAACACTGGACCAGCCAGCGATACCTGTGACCCACAAGTGAATAAAAAATGGAGTCTTGATTCCTGCTTAGTTCCTCGTTTGTAAATGTGCTGATCATGAGCATTGTGATGTTGGCCAAGTCTCTGGTATAACTCCTCTCTTCTTTAAATATCATAGGACATTTTGTGCCTTCTTCAGAGGTCTCCCTCAGTACTGCACTGAAATTTCAGCCTGGACTATGAGCTTAAGATTCTGGAATCCTTTTAAATGGGCATCATAGAGTGAGCCTTACTCTGTACTGTTCTCATTCAGACTGAGCGAGGAGAGTTCAATACTGACACTGGGTTCTGTCAGTAAACCAATTATGTACCATTTCCCCAGCATGAAGTTCCATTGTCAAACAGAAGATCTGTTTTTCCCTATCAGTCCTTTGCCACTTTGTCAGTACATTAATTTTGAATGGCTAGCCTGTGGCTAGGCTCCATACAATGTGAATTATTCAGAATGTGGCTGTGTGTCCTTTCTCTCCATTCAGTGGAGTCTTTGTTTCGTTTTTGTGTGTATTCTAAGATGATTATGATGGCTCAGCCTCTATACATAGGGCATTGTTTTATGACATGTGAAGGGCAAATAAATCACTTATGATACCTCATCAGGGAGTAGCTGTCAGTGTGGCAAGTCCCTGCCAAGATGGACAGACTTACAGTAAAAACCAAGACCCTGATATGTTGGTGAAAGCTTATCTTAACTTTAGTGACATATTGAGTACTAAGATGTAGTTGTGGGGGAAGGGGGGATAAGAAAGATTTGCATTTTTATGGGACTGTTTATTACTTCACTATCAAAACTATTCAGATGTACAGCAGTGCTTTTGTGACAAGGAAAGACTCCAACAAACAACAAAGATCCATAAGCACTTTAATTTTTGTTCTGGTTAAGGGAAGAAATTTGCCCAAAATCCCAAATAACCCTCATTCTCTCCTTCAAGAAGCAACTGATACTGTACCTACATAAGAACTGTTGAGAACTTCAAAAGCCCCAGATCTAGACAAATATGAAGAGCATCAAATTGTATCATTTTCTGTTTGAGGTAGCTGCAGATGATAAAGGCCAGTCAGTCCATCTTTATTCATCGATCCAGAAAAAAACCTTATGTTCTCTTCTTTCAATCAATTCTTTCTTAAATGATTCTGAGCTTGTGCCTCCATAATTCCATCTGGAGGTTTATTCTAAATGCCAATGACTCTCTGACGATATGAATTTCCTGACATCGGTCTTAAAAGTCCTCTTCTCTATTTAAACATGCACTCTTTTATCACGGTCACACTGTTGCTGGACTAATAATAGGAACATTGGAACGAGAGTGGGCCATTCAGCTTGTTGAGCCTGTGCCACCATTTATTTTCCAATCATTTGCAGGACGTGGGCATCATTGGCCAAGGCAACATTTATTGCCCATCCCTAATCGCCAAGAGGACAGTTAAGTGTCAACCACATTGCTGTGGGTTTGGAGTCACATGTAGGCCAGACCAAGGAAGGATGGCATACCCTTCCCTAAAGGGCATTAATGAACCAGATGGGTTTTTCTGACACTTGACAGTAGTTTTTCATGGTCATCATTAGATTCCTAATTTCAGATTTATTTTGTTGAATTCAAATTCCACCATTTGCCCCAGCAGGATTTGAATTCAGGTCCCCAGAACATTATCAGGATCTCTGGATTAATAGCCTAGTGATAATACCACTAGGCCATTGCCTCCCCCATCTAATATAATCAGCTGATCAAACACTTCAATGTCTTTTACCCACCCCATCTCCATAATCCTTTGTGCCATTGATAATCAAATATTTATCAATGTCTACTTTTAAAGACACTTTAAATTACCCACCCTCTGAGTTTAAAAAAAAAACTCATCTCAGTCCTAAATGTCATCTCCTTATATTTTTAAACTGTGCCTCTTGGTTCTAGGTTACCTAACCAATGGAAACATCTTACCTGCATTTACCCTATCTATCCCTTTCAGGTATTTTATGGGTTTCAGTGAGATCACCTCTCATTCCTCAAAACTCTTGAGAACACAGAGAGCAGGAACTGCAGATGCTGGAGAATCTGAGATAACAAGGTGTAGAGCTGGATGAACACAGCAGGCCAAGCAGCATCAGAGGAGCAGGAAGGCTGACGTTTCGGGCCTAGACCCTTTTTTCTGAAGAAGGGTCTAGGCCCGAAACGTCAGCTTTC